GGAACCCAGTCTTCATTTAAAACCATAGATTTTAGCCAGGCATGCTGGCCTTTAATCCCAGTACTCAGGAGGCAGAGGCAGGTGGATCTCTGTGAGCTCAAGGCCTGCCTGGTCTACATAGTGAGTTCCAGGCCAGCTGGGGCCACAGGGAGACAAAAAACAAAAACAAAAAACAAAAAAAAAACCCCAAACAAACCTAAAAACCGTCTCTGTGAGCTCAAGGCCTGCCTGGTCTACATAGTGAGTTCCAGGCCAGCTGGGGCTACAGGAAGACAAAAAACAAAAACAAAAAACAAAAAAATCCCAAATAAACTTAAAAACCCATAGATTTTAGTCTCTTCGCCAGAAATGTGTTGACAGGTGATGAAACTTCACTGAGTTTATTTCCTAACCTGTAAAGAGGGTACAAAATACCTTTGCAAGTATTAGAGTAAATGAGATCACTAATTGAAGTATGTAGTACCTTCATTCAGTAAATAATACTGATGAATATTTTTAAAAAATTTTTTATGTTTTTATGTATTTGAGGGTTTTGCCTGCATGTATATAAGATGCACCCATATTGTGCAGTGCCCATGGAGACTAGAAGAGGGGTATCAGATCCCCTCGATCTAGAATTATAAGCAGTTATTACCCATCATGAGGGTGCTAAGAACAAGACCCAGGTCTCTGCATGAGTAGCCAGTGCTCTTAACTGCTGAGCCATTTTTTTCCAGCCCCAATATTGGTGATTATTATTAATAACAAAATAAAGATCATAAGCTTAAGCTGAAGAACTATTGGCAGCTAATCACTGTTGGGTGAGGGAGAGTCAGTCTTTAAAGGAATGAGGCTAGATGGGCTGACCAGGCTCCACTGGATAAACTCACACCAAGGGACATCTGGGTACACAAACTTGACTTGATAGACCTTAACATGTATGATAGAATGCATGAAATCTTGTGGGCAGGCTTTAGGGGGTACAGATAGGGAAGTGCTCTAAATATGATTAAGATGCATTGCATGAAATGCACAAAATGCCTGGCTGACAAAAATTCAAGACAAATAATACATTGAAAAAAATAATGATCATACAAATATATTTGTATTTATTATTTTCAGTATCCATTGTAAGTCCCATGCATGCTAAGACTTCTTTGTTCCTTTTGTTCTCTGCTTGGTCCCCAGAGAAAGCATGACCTGTCTTTGAAGTGACACCTTATATGTTACTGGAAGTGTTCTCAGTATCTGTGACTTTTTTTGTTTTTTTGAGACATGGTCTCCCTGTAGCCCAGCTGGCCAGGTTCTTGCTATGTAGGCACAGCTGACCTTGAACTCACAGAGATCCATCTGTCTCTGCCCCCTGGAGTGCTGGGATTAAAGGCATATGCCACCACTCCTGGCCCTGTCTTTGACTTCTTAACAGCTACTTAGTAATGTAGAAATTATGTCAACATGAAATGATGGTCAGGACCAGATAACTGTAGCTATCTTTCTTTCCTCAGATTCTGTTATTCTGAAATATTAGCTCATCTAGATAGGCTATTTGTAGTAGAAAAATCAGGGAAAAAAACCCTGCATATAGCCAGGTGTGGTGGCACATGTCTTTAATCCCAGCACTTGGGAGGCAGAGGCAGACAGATCTCTCTGAGTTCAAGGCCAGTCTGATCTACATAGTGAGTTCCAGGCCAGCTGGGGCTATAGGGAGACCCTATCTCAAAAAAAAATAAATAAATAAAATAAACTATGCAGAACAGATTATGAAGAATGTAGAAATGGGCTTATATCTGGCAGCTAGGAGGCAGGCATGCTAAGAAAATATTTAAAATATTTTTCAATTTAGCCAGATATGGTAGTACATGCTATAATCCTAGCATGTGGAAGGCAGAAGTTGGAGGGTTGAGAGTTCAAGGCCACCCTGGATACATAGCAAGACCTTATTACAAAGAAACCAACTCCTACAAGTTTTCCTCCTATCTCCACATGCACGCCATGGCCTACACATGTATACACACAAAATAAATAAATATAATAAATTAAAAAATAATGATAAAGCAACCCACCAAGAGGATGGGTGCCTGGGCTTGGCTAATTAGGACTTCCTGACACAGGCCACTTCTGGGCTCTGACCCAGTAACAGAAGAAATAGCCACAGAAAGAACACTTTGAGGCTGGCCAGATGGCTCTGCAGATAAAGATGTTTGCCTGACTGCCTACTTTTTTTTTGTGGTCATTTTGAGACAGGGTCTCCCTGTAGCCCCAGCTGGCCTGGAACTCTCTCTGTAGGCCAGGCTGGCCTTGAACTCACAGAGATCCACTTGCATCTGCCTTCCGAGTGCTGGGATTAAAGGCCTACACCACCATGCCTGGCTGACTGCTTGTTTTTGATCCGCTGGATCTATATGGTAGAAGGAAAGAACCAACCCCTGCACTTTGTCTTCTGACCTCCACACATACACTGTACCACATGCATGTGCATCTACCCACACACAAAATAAATAAATGTAATTAAAATATTTTTAACATGTTAAGAAAAAGAACACTATGCTGTGCTCCAATAAAACATTATTAAGGATATTGCACAAATAAACAAACAAAAAAAGCTCTGCCAAGTCCAGCTTACTAAATTAATTAATTAAAAGGTGATTGAAGTAGAAAATTATCACATTAAGAAATTAATGTAGTTAATCAGAAAATATGTGTTCTTACTGCATGTAGAATGGTATCTTAGTATGCCACTTTGGGTCTTAGGTAAGCTTGCTTTCATAAACTCAGATGCATTGTTGCTGATTTCTGGTTTCTGTTTCCTTTAAGTTTGGTCAAGAACAGCTGTATCAGAAAACTGGCTTAAATGTTTTCCTTGCTTCAAGTACCACCTTGTCCAGCCCCATCAGCAGATATTTTCAGGAGCTTACCTTTAGTGTGTCTTTCTAAAGCCTAATTCTTTCAGTTGTTTTGCATTTATACCTTATCAGTCAATAAAATACCTAAACTATGAAAACACAATAACGACTGTCCAAACAGTATGGAAGCAGGCACAGTGGGGTCCCAGCAAGTATGTAGTGCCACAGCTGGGAGCAGAGTACACTCAAGGAGTGTAGCCTCCAGTGCTCAGTGTAACGTGGGCATTGCCCCAGATGTTTTATAGAAAGAATGCACTACTGGTAAAATGGTGACTCACTCAAAAGGATCCATTGAGAGAGCTTCTGTTGTTTTTGTGACAAAAATACTTTGCCTGTATTTGATTAAGCTGTTAGATAGGTAAAAGATTAAAAAGAAAATAACAGAAACACAAGTCCAATGCCAGCCTGGGCTAATAAACAATAAAACTTTTTCTTAGAGAATTTTGACATTATCATTTAAGGGAGAACAGGTTGAGACTGAAAAATCAGTATCCACTATCTACCTCTGTCCATATGTATCTGACTTCTCTTCTGTTTCTCTCTGCCAGAGTTGAAGGATGCATGAAATCCTGATTATCTTTAGACATATGTGATCTTGTTTGTTTTTAACATTTTTATTGAATTTTTGAAATTTTCATACAATATAATTTAATGGTATTTAGATCCCTTCCCTATCTGCACCTCCTCTGTTCCTCTACTACCCGATTTAATGCACTCTATTATATATATGATAAAGTTTATAGAGTCTAATTTACATCATCAACCGTTCTTCAGTATGGGTCCATCCACTGGAGCCTGGTTAACCTACTGAGTCCCATCCTTGAAAGAGATTGTCTCTCCCCCTCCCAGCAGCTATCAGTTGCCAAAAGTTCCTTAGGTTGGCTGAGATTTCTTACCCACTTCCTATGCTGGGGTTTTGTCTGGTTTGAACTTGCATGGCACTTGTGCATGCTGTCACCATTGCTGTGAGTTCATATGAGTAACTGACCTGCTGTCTGGAAAACTGTTTCCTTGTGGTCATCTACCACTTCAGGCTCTTACAGTCTTTCTACACTTTCTTCCACAATAATCCCTGAGCCATGGGAGGTAGAAATTTGATATAGGTGTCCTATTCAGGGATAAGTACTCTGTAGCCTCTTCTCTGCACATTAGCTAGTTGTGGGTTTCTGTATTAATCACCATTTACTGTATAAAGAAACTTTTCTTGTTAGAGAAGTTCTGGGTTTCTTTTGTTTGTTTTTGAGGCAGAGCTTGCCACATAGTCCAGACTACCGCTGAACTCATAATCTTCTGGGGTCAGCAGGCAGAATCTCCCAGGCGGAGATAGTGGACGTGATACACCACCACACCCACCAATGTATGAGATCTTAGTGATGTTCCAGACTCCAGACCTAGAACAGATAGAGAAAGAAACACCTTGCAGTAAAATAGTGGGTTGTGTCAGGAAGTCAAATATAGTAAGAGTATATGACTGGATTTTTTAATTTTTCTAGGCAATTGATAGCATTCATCAAGTAGGGGTTTACTGTCTTGCACTGGTGCCTGCCAATACATTGCCAAAAACTCCACTAGGAGGGATCCACCTATCTCAGACGAAGCAGCTCTTTCTGGAAGGATCTCTGCATCCATGTAATATACTCATGTGCCCACATACATGTGTGACGAATTTGCCAAAACCCTGGCAAAAGCAACCAGGTAATCATATGCTAACTTCTAAGCCATAACATGAAAAGGTAACTTGAAGACACTGATGAATGCCTGGGGTGGTCGCACGCGCCTTTAATCGCAGCACCTAGGAGGCAGAGACAGGCGGATCTTGAGTTCGAGGCCAGCCTGCTCTACAAAGCAAGTTCCAGGCCAGCTCATGCTACAGGGAGACCCTGTCTCAAAAAGACCAAAAAAAAAAGAAAAAAGGAACATGACCTTGTGTAGGCTTCGACTTTCGGCCTACAGAATAACAGAAGAGCAACAGAAATTGACAGGAGCCAGAATTGTTACCGTGAAGGTAGGCTACTTTGACTGAGTAACTTTGTGTGGTTTGCCAGTGATCAAAGTCCCACTGGTAGAAAGAGAATAAAGTCCCCTGATAATAAGAATAGTTGGTATTCAGTGAGTGCTTAATAAATGCCAAGTACTAGCTAGCATTTTACAGTTGTGATCCTAAGGTGGTCTCCCTTGGCAAATAAAGTTCAGAAAAGCTAAGTACATCTAAGTGTGTAAGTCACATAGCTAGATAATGGCAAAACTGAGATTCACACACACCGTGACTAAGTTACACCACTTGCAGTCATGACACCATACTGGCTTTCTGTGGGAACCTCTCCTAGTGTTATCGCCTTAGTTCCTTTTGAAATTTGCTGTGGTCGTATCCTACCTATGGGGAACAAGGGACTTAATTCAGACATTTTCAGGGTCATATGTAGAAAATAACCCTATGCTTTGTGTTGGCCATTTTCAAGATATAACCAAGAGAATATAAATTTTTAAAAAGGGGGAGACAATATAAGTCAGTTTCACCTTTTGCCTAACTTCTGAGTAGATCCACGTTAAAATATATGTTAAACGTAGTTGGGTATGATGATAACATACCTGTAACCCTAGCACTTGGGAGGTAGAAGTAGGAAGATCAGGAGTTCAGTATCATCCTCAGCTAGCCAATCTGGGCTGTATGAATATCTCTCAAAAAAGGAAGCCAGAGGCCAGGCATAGTGGTGCACACCTTTACTCCTAGCACTCAGGAGGCCAAGGCAGGTGGGTCTCTGTGTGTTTGAGGCCAGCCTGGTCTATATAGCAAATTCCAGGCCATCCAGGGCTACACAGTGAGACCCTGTCACAGAAAGTTAGGGGGTAGGGGAAGAGAATGAAGGAGAGAGAGAGAGAGAGAGAGAGAGAGAGAGAGAGAGATCCCTAAAAGCCAGCATGTACTCAATAGATTTTATTGAGCCTTTTTCATTTTAAGAACAAATAATGAGAAATTGGCTTAGTTTCCCATATCTGGCCTTTCCAGGTGTCCCCTGACCCCTGCCCAATGTGTATTAGCCTTTAAATATGTTGGAAAAAAAATAGGAAGTGTGGTATTAGCTCCATTTCTTTTTCTTTTTCTTCTTTTCTTTTTGAGACAGAGTGTTCTTACAGCCCCAGCTGGCCTTGAACTCACAAAGATCTGCCTGCCTTTGCCTCCCAAGTGCTGGGATTAAAGGCAAGTACCACCATACCTTAGCTCCATTTCTATATGACAGCTTTTGCTGAAAGGTAAGTAGCATGCACAATAATAAAGTATGAGATGAGCCTGTGACTCACTAAGAGGCTGTGATCAGACTATTACAATGTTAATGCGTTGTGCTCTTCAGTGAGTATTGTGGTGGTCTGATCCCCACTCCTTTACTAGATTTTATTACCAACTCATGAACTACCTATTGCTTACTGACATGTGTAGTGTTAAGGTGTGTATGATATGTATCACCTTCTGCTAGTGGAAATCAAGTTTATGGAGGCTAGTATTCTATTTTTTGTGTTTGTTTGGTCTTTGGTGGTTATTGTTCTATTACTGTTGTCTGCTGTTCTGAAGAGAATCAGTAAGTCTGTGTAAGGCTGAGTGTGGTGGTACATGCCTTTACTCTCAGCTGGGGCAACAGAGTGAGAAAAAAATCCCCCCAAATGTCTGCATGATTTATCAAGAAACAGAAAGGTTGGGGGCTGGGGACTGGAGAGTTGGCTCAGTGGTTAAGAGTACTGACTGCTGAGGCTGGTGAGATGGCTCAGTGGTTAAGAACACTGACTGTTCTTGCAGAAGTCCTGGGTTCAAATCCCAGCACCCACATGGCAGCTAACAACTGTCCCTTACTTCAGTTCCAGGGGATCCGACAATCTCTTCTGTCCTCCACAGACATGGCATGACACAGGTGCACTTACCTACATGCAGGCAGTACATGCAAACATATAAAATAAAAAATAAATAAATTTTATTTTTTTAAAAAAAGGTGCTGACAAATGATTATTTATTTAAAAAAGAAACATAAAAGGAAGTATCTTCAGACACATTACCTGCACAGGCATATGCAAATATCTAAAAACCACATGAGACCTGTAAGAGCATGTATCTACCACATGCAAGCCCCTGGATTTAATTCCCTGGACTGACGAAACACAAGCACAAATTCTTCTTTATCTTGTTACTTGTTACTTATTAAAGTGTTACATTTATTTATTATGAGTAAAATTCCATTTTAAGTAGGTTTGGTTCCCAGCACTCACATGAGGGCTAACAACTGTCTGTAACTCCAGTTCCAGGGGATCTGACGCCCTCTTCTGACCTCTGAGGGCACTGCATGACATGAGTGCACTTACATATATGCAGGCAGAACACAGTAAATTAAAAAAAGATTTTTAAAGTGTTACATTTATTTATTATGAGTAAAATTCCATTTTAAGTAGGTTTGGTTCCCAGCACTCACATGAGGGCTAACAACTGTCTGTAACTCCAGTTCCAGGGGATCTGACGCCCTCTTCTGACCTCTGAGGGCACTGCATGACATGAGTGCACTTACATATATGCAGGCAGAACACAGTAAATTAAAAAAAGATTTTTTTTTTCGGTCTTTTTGAGACAGCATCTCCCTGTAGCCCCAGCTGCCTTGGAACTCCCTGGTTTATACCAGGGTGGCATCAAACTCACAGAGATCTGCCTTCCTCTTCCTCCCAAGTACACATATGTGTACCACCATTCCCTGATATACATAGGGCTCTTTTAGCAAAACATTCATGTTAGAATAGATGCTTAAAAATTGTTCTTAGAGGCACAGTAAATTTTTTTTGTGTGTGTGACTGGGTCTTACTACATAGCCTTGTTTGGCTTGGAACTTACTTATGTAGACCAGGCTGGCCTCACACTCACAGAGAACTACCTCTACCTTCTGATTACTGAGATTAAAGATATGTGCCATCATGCCTGGCCACAGTTGATATTTAAAACAGTGCCTTTCCTAGCCAGATTTCATCTAATTTTATTAATGATGAAATCTGTCTACAAGATGTAGTCCTAGTTCTTGAAGGGTCAGAATCCATTCATCCTTTCCAATGAAAGCTGCTTTCTGCTGAGATTGTGCAGAAGCTGAATGTTATACATTGGGAAACAGTGCCAGTCAAAAATCATGGCACTGATGAGTAGAGACAGTGAGGAAATAATGTGGCACTGGGACTTGAAAAAACAATTTAGAAGAGTAGAGGCGGTGAGGAGTGAGGCAGGAGAGGAGAGGAGAAAGATGGAAGGGTGTCAGATCAGCTTACCAAGGTGCCTCCTGCCACTAGTGTGGTAACAGTGGGAGTGTATATCAGCACAGCCTTGGCTAGACATCGCAGCAGACCTAAAGCAGTAGAATCAAGTTTATTCTCTTCGGTAAAAGAATTCAGAACAAGGCAGGCCAGGGCCATTCCCAAGCTGCTTCTGCCAGCTTCCCATCTTTTTGCTCTGATGACTTGTTAGTTGACTGTTGTTATAGATATGTGCATTACAAATAATCCCAAAACTCAGTGTCTTGAAACAACCGACATTTGTTTTCTAGTCATTGCACATGGATCAGCAGGACATGACTGAGCCCCAGGCTGTAGATCATATTCAGAACTTGCCCATGTGTCGCTTCATCATGAGCCTAGCAGTTACTCCAGTCTATACTCTTTTGAGGGGAGAGTAGGGATTGGCCTCACACTCCAGCAGTCTGACTCAGCCTCTCTAGTACTGGGATTATAGGTGTGAACCTGTATTTTTTTCTCAGGAAACATGACAGAAGCAGAAAGTCCAGCCAGGCCTCACAAGTACATTTAAAGCTGATCATGTCACCAGCTTCTTACATTCCTTGTCCAGAACAAGTCAAACCATGCCAAAGTTTGTAGAGCAGAGTATATGCTTCCAGTGTGACTACAGCTAGGAAAGGAATTCTGATAAAATGAAACTCTCTACCATAGGCCTCCTTAGCACACTCTCACAGCTACTTCGGCTGTCTGGCCTTCAGCCATCGTTTCTGCATCATCTATACTCTGGCTAGCAGATTGGAGAAAGGGATAAAAAAAAAAGCAATTATCTTTGAGTAATTTTGTGGTTCTAAACTACTATGTGGCATTCAGTTTTTAAAATGTCAGACCTGGGGCTGGAGCAATGACTCAGTAGTTAAGAACACTTGCTGCTTTTGAGGAGGAACCAAGTTTGATTCCTAGCAACCACATCAGGCAGTTCCATAGGATCTTCTGGCCTTCATGTATGTGCACAGATACACATATAGACACATACACATATACATAAATAAAAAATCTTTAAAAACAAAATGTCAGACCTCTTTTTTACAGACCTCTCTGTAAAGCCGGTTTGGACAGAGTACAGAGGTACTCTGGGTCCATTCTATGTAAAAGGGTGTCTTCAGAGTGGCATGTCTATAATTTATTACACAATTTCATAGGAAAGAATGTACATTTTATTCTTAAAATTGCACTGAATACTTTGCAGACAGGGTTTTCTGAAGCTCCTGTTCTCAGTTTTTTTAACTTAAAATTTGTTTTTACTACATTTGTTTATTTAGTCAATGAGTGTATGCATGGAGCAAGGTAGGGTATACCTGTGGAGGTCAGAGAACAGCTTGCAGGAGTAATCAGTTCTTTCCTCCCACCCTACGGGTTCTGTGGATTGAACTTAGGTCATCAGCCTTTATAGCAAGTGCTATTACTTACTGAGCCATCTGCAAGCCCACGTTCTTCTTCTTTTTTTTTTCTTTTTTGGTCTTTTTGAGACAGGGTTTCCTTGTAGTCCCAGCAGGCCTGGAACTCAGTATGTAGACCAGGCTGGCCTCGAACTCAGAGATCCGCCTGGTTCTGCTGGGATTAAAAGCGTGTGCCCCCAAGCCCGGTCAGCCCACTTTCTTTTTTCTTTTTTAATATTTAATTGTGAAGTAATTGGAAACTTGCAGAAAGTTTCCAACTGTATATCCTTTATCCAATTTCCCCCAAATATTTCAAATATTTTCCTCCTGGGAGATGGAGTATCACTGTGTATGTTACCATGCCTGGCTCCTTACTTTTTAAAAGGTAATTATGTGAGCTAAGTGAATTTTGTTTCACCTATTTCAGTATTCATGAACATCTTGGCAGTAAAAGACATTGAATATTTAGCATCATCATTACTCACAGTCTAGCTGGCAATAAGGTTGCTTTGTTACCTTTTTAGGCCATTCAGGTGGGCTCTTAGTCTGTAAGTGACCATCAGGGAGCACAGACAGAGCCCTGGCACGTGTTTTGCTTGCTTTGCTTTATTTTGAGCTGGAGGGATTTCCTCCTTAGCCCCAATTTTGAAGTGGCAAACCCATAGGAATGTTGACAGAAAAGTACAATTTGCATTCCTATGCCTCCCCTACATGCACCAATTTGGGACTTCTTTCCCCACTGACTCTAAAGTAGTTTGCCCCTTGACCCTTTACTTAATGTAAGTATTTCAACACATTTTCCCAAAGAACAAAGCTTTCTCTACTTGTTTATTGTAGCTGGTTTTCTTCTATTCCTGCAGCATATCAAGGTCATGCATCACATCAAGGTGGCCTTAATCTAGAAGCTTCCACTTTTATTTTGCTTTTAAGACATAGTTGATGCTGGGTATGATGTGGCACTGGCAGGCAGGAGGACCATGAGTGTGAGGTCCATGATTTCATTTACTTTGAATAAATACTTCTTATATTCCTTTAAAAAAATGTTTGGGGGCTAGAGAGATGAGATGGCTGATGACTGTTCTTGCAGAGGGGCCAGGTTCAGTTCCCAGCACCCACATGGCAGCTAACAACTATTCTTAACTCCAGTTCCAGGGGAATCCGATGCCCTCTTCTGTCCTCCATGGGCACTGAATGATACAGATGCACTTAGATACATGCAGGCAAAACACTCATACACATTAAAAGCAATAAATTAAAAATATTTTTATTATACTTATTGTGTGTATACACGTGTGTGTACATATCTGTATGCATATGCCATACCACACATGTGGAAGTCAGGAGACTACTTTGGGGGGTAGGTTTTCTTCATCCACCATGTGGGTCCCAGGGGTGGAACTCAAGTCATTAGGCTTGGTGGCAAGCACTTTTAACCACTGAGTTATCTCACTGGCCTCTCAAATTCCTGATAAACTCAATCCATGTCCTCATAGGTGACAGATTTCTTTCTAGACTATTACTGCTAAGCACTTTTCAGGGCTGTATTATGATTGGAGCAAAAACTGATTATCAGTAGGAACCAGTGCCAACCCCTTGGAGTGAAAATCTGCCTGTGAACCCAAGTTCCAGTAGCTACTTCTCCCCTCACCTCTGGGTCTCCTGTGACCTCCTCTCCCCTCACCCCTGGGTCTCCTGTGACCTCCTCTTCCCCTACCCTAGGTCTCCTGTGACCTCCTCTCCCCCGACCCCAGAGCCTCTTGTGACCTCCTCTCCCCTCACCCCTGGGTGTCCTGTGACCTCCTCTTCCCCCACCCCTGGGTCTCCTGTGACCTCCTCTCCCCTCACCCCTGAGCCTCTTGTGACCTCCTCTCCCCTCACCTCTGGGTCTCCTGTGACCTCCTCTCCCCCCACCCCTGGGTCTCCTGTGACCTCCTCTCCCCCCACCCCTGGGTCTCCTGTGACCTTGCTTTGTTTTTTGCTGAAGTTCTACTGCCTGGCTTTGTTTACACATGTATGTACTTTTTGGTTGCCTTTCTTAATAGAATACAGGCTCTTTCCCCTGTACCTGTAAGATTAAATGCTTCACAACATTGTTGAATGAATGTTTAAACCAGTTTGGGCCAGTCTAGAAATGCTTTGAGGCATATGTGACTTGAATTTCCATCTCCAGAGTTGGTGTGTGCCTCCATCTCCAGAGTTGGTGTGTGCCTCTGTTTACAGGTGTAGGCCCTGCTTCAGTGATGGTTGGGAATCTGGTTGCTGGTAAACGCATAGCACAAGCTGCAGGAAGGGATCTGGGGCAAACTGAAGAGAACGACTTAGTGAGGAAGGTAAGTGTTTCAGACCTGTTGACTTTTTAGCAGAGAACTGAGGACAGAACGTACACTTCAGATAGCAGATGTGGGGTTTATTACAAAGTCTTTGAAAGTTGCCGACCCTGAGTCTTTTTTTCTTTTTCTGCTTTGTGACTTTAGCACCAGTTCTTGGCAGAGATTTTGCAGTGGCGAGCCCAGGCAACTCCTGACCATGTACTCTTCATGCTGTTAAATGCCAAGGTACTGAAAAAATCACTTGCAGGATTGGGGATGTAGCTCAGTTCGTAGAGTGCTTGCCTCGCTTGTACAGGACCCTGGGTTCAGTCCCCAACGCTGCATAACCAGGCATGGTAATGCATGCCTATAATTTCAGCACTTTGGAGGTGGAAGCAGGAGGATTAGGAGATCAAGGTCATCCTCAACGACATAGTAAGTTGGAGGCCAGCCTAGACTACAGGAGATGCTGCTTCAAAAAAAAGAAAAGCTAAAACAAACAAATGGAATAATTCATTTGTATTTTTTAAACCACATCAAGCAAAAAAGAATGTAAATGTGTTTGATTTGTTAGTGTTTTTAGACCCTGAGTACCTGCAACATTGAGAAAGAAAAGGAATCCCATTCCTATCTTTTATTACTAGGGGAATTTTCTCAAGTTCATAATTTACACAGGTTAATGTACCCAAAGCCCAAGTATTTATAATATTAAATTGGCTGTATTTATCCCTGTTCATTTCCATATTGAGCTTTGACCTCCTTAACCTTTCTTCTGTTGAAAGGGAACTACTGTGTGCACAGCCAGCTGCCTTCAGCTTCATAAGCGAGCAGAGAGGATGGCATCAGTACTTGGTGACAAGGGACATCTAAATTCAGGGGACAATGTGGTATTGCTCTACCCACCTGGTGAGTGTTGGATTAATAAACTGAACTCTGTGCTATGTTATTAGATGGCATACAAGGAGAGAATAGGAACTCAAGAGTCACCATCTGCTACCACAGAGGTCTGGTACTTCCCAGCACCAAGTACTCCATGCATACAAGCTAAGATGTGAATCAGGATGCGTCCCCTGAATTGTGTGGTATACCTCTGCAGAAACTTTCATTATCAGTGCCTAGCACATAAAAGATACTCAGGCCAGACATGCTAGCACATTCCTGTAATATTAGTCCTTGGGAAATAAGACAGGAGAAATTAGGCATTAGAGAGCCCAGCAAGGGTCATATAACAAGCCTTTAAAACATAGAAAAGCCGGGCTTGGTGGCGCAAGCCTTTAGTCCCAGCACTAGGGAGGCAGAGGCAAGGGGGATCTCTGTGAGTTCAAGGCCAGCCTGGACTACATAGCGAGTTGCAGGTCAGCTGGGGCTATGGGAGACCCTGTCTCAGAAAGACCCAAAAAAATTACTTCTTAAACCCACAAAAGGGGCTGTAGAGATGGCTCAGCAGTTAATAGCACTGGCTATCCTTGCAGAAGACCTGGGTTCAAATCCCTGCACCCACATGGTGGCTAACAGTCCTGTTCCAGGGGATCCAATGCCCTCTTCTGTCCTCCGTGGGCACTGCATGACATGAGTGCAATACACTCATAAACATAAAATAAGTCAAAAAAGAAAAAGGAAAAAAGGGAATGTTTTTTGGAACCTCTGCATTTAGTTTCTTGGCAACAGCAGGCAGTTAAGTGACTCGCCTGACAGGACCCTCTGTCTTGCAGGCATTGAGTTAATTGCTGCATTTTATGGTTGCTTGTATTCAGGGTGTATACCTGTGACTGTGCGGCCCCCTCATGCTCAGAACCTCACTGCCACATTGCCCACAGTGCGCATGATTGTGGACATAAGTACCGTCTATATCTGTCTGTTCTCATTTTGTAAAATCCACATTCAAACCACTAAGAATCCATAATATCATCCCAGTTTTATTGAGTCATGAGGTTAAATTTTTCCTTAAAAAATGGTCTCCCAACTGGGAGTGGAGTTGCATGTCTGCAATCTCAGCATGCACTTGGTGGGGCAGACACAGGTGGATCTCTGAGAGATTGGGACCAGCTTGGTCTACATAGTGAATTCCAGGCCAGCTGTGGCTATAGGGAGATCCTGTTTCAAAAAGACCAAAAAGCAAAGCAAAATAAATAAAAAACAAAACCAGTACTGGCAAGATGACTTAGTGGATAAAGGCACTTACCATACATACCTGATGACTTGAGTTTGATCCTTAAAGTTCACATAAATATTGAGAGGACCAACTCTACAAAGTTAGTCCCCTACTTCTACATTCATGCCTACACACATCATGCGTACATTTACAAAACAATAATAAAAAGAAAAATAAAAAAATCCCAGCTGGGGGCTGTGGAGGTGGCTCAGCAGTTAAGAGCACTGAGTGAACCTTGCTTCGATTCCCAGCACCCACATGGCAGCTAACAATCATCTGTAACTCCAGTTCTAGGGGTTCTGATGCCCTTTTCTGATCTCTGAGGGCATTACATGACATGGGTGCACCCACCTACATGCAAACAAAATACTCGTACACATAAAATAAAAATAATAAATAAAATATATAAAAATCCCAGCTGTCTGGTTTGCCCCTTTGCTCTAATCTGGCCAAAATGACCATTTATTCAGCGAAGAAACTGGGAGAGTGATGATTGGTGAG